CTCTATAGGACTGAGGCACGAACTTCTCCAAAAAGACCACGGAAAACTACTGCCAAGTAAGGGGTGTTGCGCCAATAGGCCTACGCCTCTCGTAAGTCTCCCACCATCTGAGTGAAGCCCCAAAAAATTGAAAAGTAGTGAATGAGACCCCACTGGTCTCCAGAATACCCGTTGTCCGAAGCATTCGTTGACACCTATCTAGAAAACCCTGAGCATCCTCTGACTCTGCACCGCTAAAAGATGGAGGTCGAAGCCTCTCAAATCTCTCAAGTCTCCTTTGCTTATCATCTGCCATAACAGGAACTACCGGGGCCTGAGCAGCTGCAGCCGGCTGGGCTGGTAGTGCCCCCGATATCTGAAGTACCTGTACTACCTGGTCTAGAGTACGGGAAACGGGGGTATGAGCACCTCCCCCGACCTGAGAAGTGGCAGGTGCGGCCTGAGCCGAAACCACCCGAACTAGACAAGTGCAAGTTGCCAATATCTGGGCCAAAGTCTCCTGAAGGCCTGGAACCTCAATGGGCACAGCTGGTGCCTGAACTGATCTTTTCGGCTCAGCTATATCTGGAATCTACTCCTGAGCTGGAGTACCTGGCGATACTACAGGTGCTGGTCCAACTATGGAACGAGCTACACCTCGACCTCTACCTCGGCCCCGACCTCTACTATGGCCCTGGCCTCTCACGGCCCTAATTGGTGGCACTGGTGGCTGACCATCTGATCCGGTAGTACGTGTCCTCACCATCTATGAGAGAATAGAATAATAGAAATTTAGTTTCCGGAATCAACAATTTCGCACGACAGAATACAAGAAAGTGAAATTTTCCTAAGGGTTCTGCAGCCTCTCGAAGATAAGTACAGACGTCTCCGTACCGATCCGCAAGACTCTACTAAACCTACTCACGACTCGTGAGACCTATGTAACCTAAGCTCTGATACCAACTTTTCACGACCCAAAATTTTAACTTGTCGTGATGGCGCCTATCTCGATACTAGGCAAGCCGATAATCTCAATAAACCACAATTTCTCTTAAGTTTGAAAATATAATATTTAAATACAATACAAAATCTCACAAATACTGATATGAACACTCCCCAAAACCTAGTGTCACTGAGTACATGTGCATCTAATATGAATACAAGTCTGGAAAATACGGCCCATAACAGTCTGAGACCAAATACTGTAAATAAGGAGATAGGGAAGGAGAGGCAAGGTCTGCGAAACACGGCAGCTGCCTCTGAATCTCCGAAAAATCAACTGTGCAAAGAATCAACACCCGCTAAGTCCGAGAATACCTGGATCTGCACACGAAGTGCAAGGTGTAGTATGAGTACAACCAACTCAGCAAGTAACAATAATAAATAAGGAACTGAAGATAGTGACGAGCTACACAGTTATTTCACTTTCAGTAATTCCAGCAAAGAATAGACATGCTCTCAAATCCAACAGATTAAGTCAAATCAGTTTTATACAATTCATGTTCATGTAATCCGGATATAAAATATTTAAGAGTATTTCACAACAATGACAAATAGCAACTAAGTGTAACAACAAATGAAAAGCAAGTACAGCCTCTCAGAGCAACAGTCACTCAACTCGTCACAACAGCTCAACCACACGGCTCTCAGCCCTTAGCACTCATACTCAATGGGTACCCGCGCTCACTGGGTGCGTACAGATTCCGGAGGGGCTCCTACAGCCCAAGCGCTATAATCTGCACTGACAACTCACTTGCTGCAGGGACAACTCACGTGCCATAATATAAATATCTCGATCCGCACGGCCAACTCACGTGTTGCACGGCCAACTCACATGCTATAGTATAATATAAGGATCCACACGGACAACTCACGTGTTACACGACCAACTCACGTGCTATAGTATAATATAAGGATCCGCACGGATAACTCACGTGTTGCACGGCCAACTCATGTGCTATAGTATAATATTTCACAATCAGGCCCTCGGCCTCACTCAGTCATAAGGCTCTCCAGTATCCCGGTCTCTCTACTATCATAAAATCAGCCCAAACAATAATGATATGATACATCAATAATGAACAATAGTGACTGAGATAAAATAAACAAGTAAACTGTGACTGAGTACAAAACAACAATTAAGCAGATAGTTCAACATGTACACGACCTCTGTGGTTCCCAACAGTACCAACATGTAGCCTAAACATGATTTCTAACATGGTTTATAGTCAAATTTCCACAACACATAGAGAGTACATAGCTATCAACAAGTCATTCAACAAGGGATGGACCAAGTCACAATTTCCTCGGTACAATTCTGTTATGTTGCTTGTTCTCATTAATTAATAGACCACTAGAAATTGGTATTGAATCTCACGAATGTTGGAAATATCAATGGTGAATATGAGCTCCTGCACCTGCCATGTATACCACATAAGATTCATCTATGAGATGGTTATATGTACGATTATTATTGACCCGCAACCTGGTGTTTGCAAGGTAACTTGCTCAATAATTTAATTTTGAGCATAATTGTTAAATTTACTATTCAAAAAAGTTCATCTTGATAAATTGGTTTATATCACAGTTGGTTTAGCAAAATAATTTATTGAATGCTTCCACTTAATAGTTAAACTATTGCTTATGAGAAAAAAGTTATCTATATCAATTTGATATATGTTATATACGAAAGTATATTACATTCTCCCCTCACAAGTGGTTTAGGGCCAGGAACCAAATACTTCCATCTTATTATTATTGATGTGTGGTGTATATTTTTATTTATACCATAACGCACAAAGATGGATTCCCAAAGTTGAGGAAGCAAGTTAGTTTTTCTAACATGAGGGGGAGACAAAATAAACAGTTGAAAAAAAGTTACGTGGAATGAATTATCAATTTGTACATCTGGATCCTCGAATAAGATAATATGAACTTGAAGTTCATAAAAAAATAATTCATCTGCAATATATTGTAAAGCATGCCAGACGTATTTATTGTCCCAAGAAAAGTAACTATATTCTCATTGCAAATAATCCTATTAGAATAAGTCCTAGAAGGACAAAGTCTATGGTACGCTTAAAGCGTATAGACAAATCGGTATCAAATAAAATTCTTGATAGAGAAGATGAGCAAATGATCATAATAAGGAGGCAAGTGATCTAGAAGCTCACATGACATAACACTTCATAAAATCTCAGGAGAGGTTTAGGTACCTGAAAATATGAATGAAGAGATCTCTATGTTATGTCTTTATGAAAAAAGGGAGGTTGGAATCAATATAAATTGTTCTTCAATTACATCTATGATAACGCTAAATATATATATGATGATCTTAAGTCTGAAAAAATAATTCAAGTGGAATTGGTTTCATATGAAAGATATGTAGTTTTGGACTTGCAGTTCAAACACTTAAAAGTATAAAGTCAATGGTGTGTGCAATCACCTTTATCTATCTTATATGTCTAGCATGATATGAAAACTTGATCTGCATTTAAAGTCTATTTATATGGCTTATGCATATAGAATTCTTGGTCATGAAGTACTGCATCCTAAGTGCAATTTGTGCACATTTGCATCGTGCTATAACTATATGCATGATAATGTGATAGCGAGAATTTTTACCTCTATGGAGATATTGAAAATACCATTCCACGGCATTATATATCTATTAAGAATGATTATTTCAAGGTGCAACATATTTATTGGAGTTAATATGGATGATTTATTCACCAAATCTCTGCCGACATCAACCTTCAAGAAGCTAGTGTACAAGATCGGGATGCGAAAGGTTAAAGATGTGAATTGATGCTCTCATCAAGGTGGAGGGTTAGTATGCGTTATACTCTTTTTTTCTTACAATGTTTTGTCCTACTGGGTTTTTCTTGCAAGGTTTTAAACGAGGCGACCAAAAGGCGTATTGTTAGATATGTGTACTTTTTTTCGTTCACTAGAAATTTTTTTTCACTGGGTTTTATTTTAGTTAAGGTTTTAACGAGGCACATTATCTGTTGAATAGACATTCAAGGAGAAGTGTTGTAAATATAATTGTATTTAAGGTGAATTTCTATATTTTAAAGAGATTTTAGGGTTGGTTACTTTGTGGCTAAATCATTTTTTCCCCTATGAATAAAAAAGTTCTATTCCATTGTATATCATACCAAATCAATTAGAATTCTTTCTCTACTTTTCTCTTCAATATTCTTGTTCTTTTATTGTTTTATATCAATTTCTGCATTAAAATTACTAATTCACAAATTTCTAAAGAATATTCGTTGGGGGTCACATCCAAATCCTTGAGTAGCCGAACCCAATTTTCCAGTAAGACAATCAAACGAAGACAAAATACATTAATGAAAGAAGAAGAAAGTTGAAAGTGAAAGGTTATACGAGTGGTTTCTTTTTCTACTAGAATGAATTTATGATATTCGAGTATAAGTGTTGGAAAAAAAAAAGGAAAAAGACAATTCATGAAATATTTAATGTTCAAGCAAAATTGGGATAGGTCGCACCTCAAGAGGTATGATGTAGGCAGCTTACTTTGACGCAAGGGTCAGTGATTGATTATACCGATTGACCTGTAATCTATACGACTTTATTGTTATTTCAAAGCTCTCGTTCGTTCGAGTAGTAAGTGTAAATGATTTATGAATTTAAGGTTTTTGCCACCGTCTTGGATTTTTGGCTCTTTACAAACTTATTTTTAGTTTTATGACTCTATATCTTTTTTTACACATAGTATATTTACTTTTACACGTCTTTTACACATAATAACTAAAAAGATCATTTTTCTTAAATTTAAAATTGTAAGAGGTATAATGTACAAATACCACAACTCCTTGCAGCATCGTAACCGTATTGCTTAATTTCAGGAAAATGAAAAAAATAAGTTGGAAAAAATGGTTAAGCAAATAAAACAGTAAACTCATTATTTATAGCAATTTACTCTTTTTGACTTGGTCAAAAGATTTTGTGGAGTTCCATGTATATACTATAACTTGTCCATATTGAAGGATATTATATATTGGAAATTTAGAAACAATAACAGAGCTCAAGAAAAATATTATCTAGTGTCACTGCTCCCATGGCTACAGACGATAATGAGGTAGTCACCGATCTCTATCCAACTTTCCGACTCTACAAAAATGGCCGCGTAGAACGCTTCTACGAACAATTTAATGTATTCTACGTTCCCCCATCGCCTGAAGACCCAGCCACGGGTGTCTCATCCAAAGACATCACAATCTCATCTCACGTTTCTGTTAGACTTTACCTTCCAAAAAACACTAATATTACTGTTAACGAAAAACTTCCGATATTAGTATTTTACCATGGTGGTGGACTTGTTGTTGGATCTGCTTTCTTCAACAAGATGCACCGTTTTCTTAACTACTTGGTTTCTGAATCAAATGCTATTGGAGTCTCTGTAGAGTACAGGCTAGCCCCTGAGAATGATTTGACAACGTTATACCAAGATTGCTGGACTGCCCTTCAATGGGTTGCTTCTCACAGTGAGAATGACAACTTCACCCACACTAGTAAAGACTCATGGTTAACAACCTATGCTGATCTAAAAAGGGTGTTCATTGCTGGGGATAGCGCTGGAGGTAATGTTAGATATATGTTTTTTTTCGTCCACACGTTTTCGTTTTAGACTACTATTCTCTCTTCAAATATTATTTTATTGTAGCATCCTCATTTTTACAAGACATGTTGGGCTCGCTTGATATAAAAATTCACTCTCTTAAGAGAGGAAATATGATAATACACGTGGAACTCTTACCACTGTAAGAATATAATTTTAAAAACTGTACATATATTTTTACTTATATAACAAAAGTCATCTTTAATTTCTTGAATTTTATGTCCATTTACCCTTCAAGTAAAATGGCATACAGTTGCTTGTAATTTGATATTTTCCCATATTTTCTTGAAACATTTTAGTCACCAATCTTTGATATGTGACTCTAAGTCAAATGGTGTGACTTTATAACAATAAGTCCCCGTCTGTGATAAACGAAGTTTTTTTCTTCATCTAGAGGGTCCATTTTTATTTGGTTATATCCTGAATATGCATCTAAAAAACTCAAAATTTCATGTTCAGCGGTAGAATCAATTAGTTGATCTATATGGGGTAAAGAAAATAAATCTTTAGGACAAGTCTTATTTAAATCAGTATAATCTATACAAACTCGCCATTTTTCATTCTTTTTGGGAACTACCACGGTATTAGCTAACCAGTCAGGGTACTTTACCTCTCGTATTGACCCAATTTTTAAAAGCTTTTGTACCTCATCTTGGATCACTTGATGTTTGAAGGATCCTTGCTTCCTCTTCTTCTGCTTGACAGGTGGGTATAATGGATCCTCATTCAGTTTGTGGGTCATCACCTCCGGTGGTATACCTGTTATATCTGAGTGCGACCAAGCAAAGCAATCCGCGTTAGCTCGTAAAAATTCAATTAACTTACCTTTCATTTCTCGTCTTAAATTTGCTCCGATGTAAACATTTTTTTCTGGCTAGTGTACAAATAGACTCAGTAGTTATCTTAATATCTTCATTTTCTTGAATAACATCGGGTCTCGAATCAACATTGGTCTGTCCTGGTGTGTCTTCAGTTGAGGTCTTTGTAGTAACGTCCTCAACCGAATTCTGTAGTTACTATTTCACGTCTGCATCATTGGTTATCGTGCTTGCAATCACCACTGAGTTGATATTTCTTGAAACTTGCTGATCTCCACGGATTTGACGAATTCTCCACTGTGAAGGAAATTTGATAACTTGATGTAATGTAGATGGGACAATGTCCATATCGTGAATCCACGGTCTTCCCGGAATTATATGCGTCTATCACCTGGAACTTTATATCCGTGACAACTCCTTCTGCAAATATGGTGAGTACAACTTCCCCTTTCGTGATAACACTTGAATTTTCAAACCCGGACAAGGACCGCGCCTTTGGTATCACCTTATCATTAGCTTGCATTTCATTCACCACCCTCAGTAAAATGATGTTCACTGAACTACCTAGATCAATCAAAACTCGTTTTACGTTAGTATCATGTACAAGTAAAGATATTACTAGTGCATCATTGTGAGGAATTATCAAGCCGTCTGCATCCTCATCATCGAATGTTATACTGTCACCATCCAAGACCTGGCGAACTCGCTTCCCGTGAGTAACCATGATTTTTGACGTATTTTTTGCAGCTATATATGTTACTCCATTGACCCCATCTTCCCCAATTATTACGTTGTCATTTCTTTTGGGTGATGGAGGTTTTGGGGGCTCTTTCATGTTCTTCATATATGATTGTATTCCTTTCTCACTGAACAAATCAGTAAGATAACCTTACTTCAACAAATGCTCGACTTCTCCTTGCAGAAGTCTATAATCTGCTGTTCTATGGCCATGATCGTTATGAAACTCACACCTGAATTTTGAATTTCTTTTGCTTGGATCTGATCTCATTTCTTTAGGCCACCATACCTTATCCTCATACCTCTTAAAACAGCTACTAACTCGGAGGTGCTGATATTAAAGTTGTAATTTCCTATCCTCGCTTGCGTATTAGAATTATTGCTTCGGGCATCCTGTTCCTTTCTAAACTTGGATGAAGGACTCGTGTCTTTTTGCCTTTGTCACGCCCCAAAATCGAGGAGCGCGACCGGCGCTCAACCGAGTGAACCCGACCGAGCAAGCCTATTAGATTCCTTCTACCCAAACTCATTCATGAATAAAGAGAATATATGTTTTCCTTAATTAAATAATAAAGTGTCTGCAATTACCAATTTCTTACCGATAGTTTCACCATTTTTAAAGTTTCAAATGGACAAGTAATACAACCACAACATAGCATAGTTTGTCTTTTTCCAGCACCAATACACAACTCATACTATGTCTACGGAGCCTCTATAGATAAAGAAGAGTACAATGATAATGTAGGCAACAAGGCCCCGGCTATACCTTAAATAGAATACACAAGTACAAAAGATTTATGACCCCACAACGAAGTGGGGCTCACCAAGTCAGTTGGGAAGAAGGTGCACTGCTATCACTGATCAATATCTCCTGTTGTGGAACCACCTGCACCCATTGAAAGATGGAGCGCCCCCGGCAAAAGGGACGTTAGCTTTCCCCGTCGAATAGTACTAGAATGTATAACTAAACACCCTCTCAATAGAATGACAATTAATACAAACAAGATTATCATAATATCAATGAAAACCTTAATCAACATCAAACCTCAATTTAGGATCAAGACAGTGTTCAAATTAATTTCCATATCTCACATTGGGAGATTTTTAGTATCGATATACCATTGTCCGCAATACCAGTGTTCACAATACCAATGCCACAGTACTTTTAGCACGGAGTCCGATCACGACCCGATCGGCTAGGCTATCTCATTAGAGAATCAACCACAATTACCATCAATATCAATACCACCGTAAATTTAGTACGGAGTCCGATCACGACCCGATCGGCTAGGCTATCTCATTAGAGAATCAACCACAATTACCATAAATACCAATACCACCGTAAATTTAGTACGGAGTCCGATCACGACCCGACCGGGTAGGCCATCTCATTAGAGACACCAACCACAATTACTATCATTACCAATACCATCATACGTTTAGCACGGAGTCCGATCACAGCCCGATCAGCTAGGCTATCTTATTCGAGACATCAACCTTTTTATATCAATTATCGCATTTCATACTTCTTTTACATCTTTTCATTTCATTGGCACTAGTGGCCATAAATAATAAGATCATCCTTGGCACGTTGGCCATATTCAGTAATTCATGCTCACATTATCATTTTCAAATATCATCCTTATCATCAACAACAAACACAATTCAAATCAAAGTGTGTAGTACGCATATGAGCAATTTAGAGTCTAATGCACATAGAGATACTTCACAAAATTTGGCATAATAGCCTTCATTTGAACTTGACTTAAAGTCGAAACATTATTAATGCACAACTCATATTTTAACACATCCTTAATTGGTAACATAACATGAATAGAGAATTTGGGATGCTTGTTGAACATATATCTTTCAACCCAATCTTACTCGGAATAGCCAATTTCATAATGAATCACTCGGGACTTACATAATTTATATGAATATCGTGGGATTCATTTTTAAGAGAAGAGTTTACCCAACATACCTCACTTGAGCTTTCTTACACTCTAAATGTTCCGGAACTCTTAGCAACTTCAATCTATTGTAGAAATATAACAAATTGAATCAAAATTAGGAAGATGATCATGGTTCTAGCTCATTTGAGCATTTTATCAAACACTAGGTGTGCACAAGGTTTCAAGGTCCTTTTATGGAGGATTACATCATCCCACAACCCAACAATTACCATGCTTAGTTCAACAATCTTCCTACACCCCTTGATATCACATGCATGTAAAATAATCAACTCTCATGCCCAAAAGTTATCTTGCTAATTATCCATTTTCAGATGGTTTCGAAATTAGGGTTTAGGGTGTAGAATCTTACCTCTAGGATGAGGACCTAGTGAGCTTGCCTTCTTAATCTTCCAAAACTTGAGCAAGAATTGAAGAACAATTATTGAAGAACACCTTCTCACTCTAGGGCACTCTCTCTCACTCTAAAATATCAGATTATGTCTCAAAAATGGCTCAAAGAGTGTATTTAACGAAATAGTGTCGGGTTTTAAAAACCTAAAAATGGAGCTCCGGAACAGATTCTGCGGTCGCATATGTGACCGCATAATGGTTATGCGGATCGCATATCGGTCGCATAATTGGTGTCCAAAATGATCAAAAATCTGCCTGAGTCTGCGGTCACTATACGGTCGCATAGTGCACCGCATAACAGTTATGCGGTCGCATAGTCGACCGCATAATTGCTTCCAACTGACCACACTAACTGCCTCACTCTGCGGCCATTATGCGGTCCACAAAGTAATTTTGCGGTCGCATAATGGACCGCAGAAATGCACTTTTCTGCCAAAACTTTTCTTTTACTTTCTGGTGCATTGTTCAACCCAAAAAGTTCAAGCCTTTTGCAAAATACTCAACACGTAAAACCAATTCGGCACCACGAAACATTACTTTCTTTTGCAAAATTTTACGGGGCTTTACACTTAAGTACTTTGAAATTTTCAGGGGTGTTACAGCCTTAGTCTTAAGTCGAATCGTGCACTTTCCGGTTTAGATCGAGAGTCTCGCCCAGCAGGTCCCATGTACGGCTCGTACCTATTTTTACCGGATCTTCTTTTTGATTCTGCACATCTCGATCTTGCTCTTTCATCGGCCCTTGGCTGTGCGACCGTATCTTCTTCTATTTGCAACTTCATATTGTACCTGTTGTACACATCGTTTCAAGTTCTTGCTGGAAATTCTCGCAAACTTTCTTTCAGCCACCTCGTGGCTTCTGAACATTTTTTGTTCAAGTTGCTCGCGAATGCCATAGCCGCCCATTTATTAGGTACTCGAGGTAACATCATCCTCTCCTGCTGGAATTTGTCTACGAATTCTCGGAGCAATTCTATAATCCCTTGTTTAACCTTAATGATGTCTTCTATCCTTTTCTCAACTTTTTGAGCTCCCGAATGTGC